ACGCCTGTCTGCCATGGGGATAGGCAGAGACTATAGAACGCCATTTACTACGATTCCTACACATCTCTATCGCTTCATCAACAAGTATACAGAGCGGATATTAATGGGGCCGTCGGTAGAGGGCGCCCTATACGGACATTTAGTGACCAGATTGGCGGTATATTAAAGAAGGGCCAAATTAAAAGTATGCTTAACCGACGAGCATGCATGAAAAGATTGATGACTGTTGATCTATTTGTACTTAAAAAAAATACACAAAAACCGTAGCTTTAAGGAATTATTGTAAGAATTAAAATCTTAATGAGGTACTGGGTTTTTAAATAAATTCTCAGTAGTATCACGGAGTCTGGAATTGTGCCCGGTATATGGCAACAGGCTCACCCCCTATTACATGAGACTCATAACATAAATATTGTAAAGTGGGTCTTACATTGTACAGTGGCATTAAGTGCCGTAATGTGCACCTTTGCCCCATCGGGTATAAAAGGCGTGTTATGTTATGTTATGTTAAATTCTTAATTGTGTCCGGTATAATATGTTACTATGTTAGTAGGCTCACCTCTCTATTCAGGGATCTGGAGCTGATCTATTATCGATACTCCCTATTTAACCTCTGCAAACATTTAAGTGTGGGAGAGCCATGCTTCAGCACGAATGGGCCGGTTAGACCGGAGTGATACCACGGCCGAGCAGGAAACTATAGTGAAACAACGCTTGCGTTGTATTTCGTCGTTTCATCACTGACACGGTTACCGGACGCCTAATTATCCCCCTCTAATCTCCTATCTTCCTAAACCCTGAATCATCAACAATCCTCAAACTCCTAATCCCGAAAAGGCCGGTAACGCACATGCAACCCATCTGGTGTTCCGGGTGTCCGTACCGATTGCTTACCATCAGGTACTGTTTAAAAAATAAAAAATAACCCTTTTACGAAATGAAAAGTGGCCCACCCCCTATTATATGGGCCTCATTACATAAATATAGTGAAAAGTGTTACATAATTATTGTATAGGTATCTATCTCTGACATTATGTAATGAAATCTTCGCAAGGTGGTAGTTCGTACAAGCAGCGACTACTAAACGTAATAATTTTCCTTATTGCTATATTGAGAGATCGTAATAAATGCAAGGTTAGATAATTGCATCATAATACTTAGCTGTTAAGGTCTGCAGTCGTGTGATGACGATCGAGTTAATACCTGAACCTTTTAAACTGCCATCTCTTGCGTGAAAATTATGGCAAACACTAAGAATGTACAGGAAGGCTAAGTCTAGAAGATGGCCACAATGTGACACAGATGATGATATTTTTATACATATGTAACTAGCAAACCCGGCGAACTCCGTTTCGCCACCAGATGGTTTGGTGATTAAAAGATGAAGATTTTTTTTTTTTTTTTATCCTTACTATAATATTATAAATTGGAAAGTGAGTTTGTTTGTTTGTTTGTTTCTTCTACTTTCACGCCGTAACTGCTAAACCGATTGCTTTGAATTTTTGCAGACGTAAAGTTAGAAGTCTGGATTAAATAATAGGATATTTTTTATCCCGGAAAAATTTGATATTCCCGAGGGAAAACAAAAGTATTGGTATAGATGGCGCTGTGTGTATATGTGTATAATATGTCACATAGGCTACTTTTTAACCTTTTGTGACGCGAGCGAAGCCGCGGGTCAAAAAGCTAGTATTTTATAAACCTCACGGAGCCCGAGATCTTTCCAACGAATGCAAAACCGTGAAAATCGGCTCGTGCGTTCTGGAGTTATAGCGTCAGGAAGGAAAACCCGACTTATTTTTATAGAGGTATAGTAAGTCTACTGCGGGAACCGTTCCGTAGGATTTTCAGGATTTTTTAAGTCATAAGAACCTTCTCCTAATAATAACAAACACAACAAAAAAAAGAATTAATGAAATCGGTCCAGCCATTCACGCGTGATGCTGTGACTAAGGGAAAAAGGGATCATAGGTCGACGTTGTCCACTATCTCGCCTGGTGGTAATCGATGATGCGGTCTACGATGGAGCACGTCGTCCCATAAGCAACCTATTCACTCAGGCCTTGAAGACACCCTTCTGGAAATCTGTCTAAACTAAACAATCCCCACGTTTGCCAGTAGAGTAAATCGTAGATAATCAGTATTACTAGTTAATCACCATCATACTAATATTATAATTAACTAGCAACCCGCCCCGGCTTCTCACGGGTGCAATATGCATGTATTATACAATTAAACCTTCTTTGAGTATCATTCTATCTATTAAAAAAACCGCATCAGAATCCGTTGCGTAGTTTTAAAGATCTAAGCATACATAGGCACAGACAGACGGCGGATAGCGACTTAGTTTTATACTATGTAATGATGTGAACATTTTTTTGTTTAGATGTTTATCCGTTAATCACGCTGAAACTACTGAAAGGATTTTGATCAAATTTGGTATACAGGTAGGGTATGAGCTGACTTAGATGATACGATACTTTTTAACCCGATTAAATGCTCCTATTAGATAACAGGAACACGCGGGCAAAGGCGCAGGTATAAGTTAACTATGTGGTCCCATAATCGGTTACGACACCCACGTGAACAGTAGCGGTGGTGACAAATGTACTCTATGTCCAGTCACCAGACGGCATTGAATGTTATACTTTTCTATACTTGACTTTTAATTGTCTACAATATTTTCCGTATAACGAGTGGTAGAGGTCGATTGTAAATGAATTGTACCTAATCATCATTTATAAACTGCTGATTAAATCTGTTAAGGGTAAGCGCTTTTGTGTTATATTTTTTAAACGTTGCTCCACATCAGTGCCTTTAGCCGAACGCCACTTTAGCGCTTGTCTACAAAGAGAGTAGAAAACTAAATGTTTGGGGATGACACTGACAAGTGTTAAAATTTACGTCAATCCCGTAGCACAGCATAGTTTAGCTTTGCATGGCGAATCTTAGCATGCCATAGCATAGCATAGCATAGCATAGCATAGCATAGTATACATGGCACAGCATAGTTTAGCTTTGTATGCCGTAACATAGCATAGCTTTGCATAGCATGACATGACATAGCATAGCATAGCATAGCATAGCATAGCATAGCACGGCATAACATAGCATGGATTTGCATGGCGTAGCATAGCATAACGTAGCTTAGCATGGCATGGCACAGCATAGCTTAGCATAGCATAGCATATAATAGCATAGAGAGTGAGGGAACAGAGAGTTCACCTGTGTATGCGCACACGCTTGTACACTAAAGATCTCTTGCGCAGTGGGCTAGTCTAGACTTACCGCTAGCCCTAGATCGGGCGGTCTATTGTCAAATAATGGAATTCATGATCACTGTGAATATACCTATAATCACAGAACATTATGTTCTGTGCCTATAATGATATTTTAATTATAGTATATGTTATGCTAGGAAGCCCCGCTATTGATGGTTTAATGGTTGGTTCCTTTACCACTTTGAACATATTTACACCTCGTAATAAGTCTGCGGACGCGAATGTACGTGTGCACGGACGCCGACGCCGAGTCATTACCGTCATTATAGACACAATTAAAGAACAATACCGAGTCAGTACCGTCATTATAGACACAATTAAAGAACAATAGGTTGCGGTCACCGGTGTCCTCGCGGTGTTTGATAGTTTAATGCTCAAACCTTCCCTGTGTGAGAAGAGGCTTTGCTCAGCAGTGGGCGTTTATAGGCTGTTGATGAATGACAATGATGATGATTCTATTGTATTCTACAATTAACACTGTTTGCTATTACTAGGAATTTTCTAAAAACGAACATCACATCTCAAATACATTTTGAACATCGAACCCAACATGCTTCGCTACACTACATATACAATTGCAACTTGCCAACTAGTCAAATTCAATACTTTTTTCGAACTGTCAAAAACGACAGTTTTCTATGAATTTTGTACGAGATTGTGTATTGTGACGTCACGTTTTTTAGCGTCAAACAGCATATGTACCTATTTCTTAAAAAAATGATGTTAAAATAGGTACTAAAATTAAGTTGGTTAGAAAAACAATTAATTAATGTTTGATTATTTTTAATATTTTACTGTATTTAACATTTTTAAAAATCTCAGTAGTAGCACGGAGTCTGGAATTATGCCCGGTATATGGCAATAGGCTCACCCCCTATTACATGGGACTCATAACATAAATAGTGAAAAGTGGGTGTTACATTGTACATTGGCATTAAGTGCCATAATGTGCACCTATCACCTACCTAGAACCTAACGGGTTACCGGGGCTCCGGCTCGACGTGCAGGAGTAGGAACGGGGTGGTTTTTAGTCAGTAAGACACTCACTCCCGCCTCACCCAGGCGAAGGAAGTCATTCGATGATTTTCCCCTCTTAAAAAAAAATGCCTAACCCTTCGGGGATACAAAGGCGTGATGTTATGTTATGTTGTATTGAACAGTCGAAATAATTTATTTTTGATTAAGGAAAGTACCCAATTACGCTTGTATTATGTCGCGGAGAACCTAACGGGTAACCGGGGCTCCGGCTCGACGTGCAGGAGAAGGAACGGGGTGGTTTTTAGTCAGTAAGAGTCTGACACTCCCTTCCGCCTCACCCAGGCGGGAGCAGTCATTCGATGATTTTCCCCCCTTAAAAAAAAAAACGCTTGTATTATAACTAATGAACGAAGCAGTCAGCATTAGTAATGTGAGCTCTAAACATAAGTACTTTGCCTTAACAAATTCTAGTAATCATCAAAGTATTAATTTACTAAAGACGACAACCTGCGCAAACGCAATCAACGCTATTGTTTCAATTCCTATTGGATAAAAAAAATGTAATCTAATACATCATTGGTTGAAATTCAAATCGACAATAACAAAGACATTTGAATTTCGAATATAGAATTCGAATTCAGTCCGTTGAAGTCCGTTGACGGTTGCAGTGTTCTTTTATAGATTTTTATTTTTTTTTAATTTTTACTTTTAGTATTTTGTTTTTTAGTTTTAGTATTAAAAATGGGTTTTTTAGAAGACAGAGATTTGAGTGGCGTTCCTAGTATTCCGGAGTTTTATAGAGGAAAAACCATTTTTATTACTGGGGCTTCGGGTGAGTTTTTGTTTTAGTTATATTGACTGATTGACTAATTTATAATATTGAGTGTCTCATTGTTCGAGTGGTCCCAAGGTCGATGACGAAAGGGGTCTTGGGTTCAATTTCTGGATCAGGCATTGGTGTTCCTTTCATTTTTTTTTTGCTATCATCATCAACAAGCTATAAATGCCTACTGCTGAGCAAAGCCTCTTCTCACACGGAGAAGATTTGAGCATTAATCACCACGCTTGCTCAATGCGGGTTGGTGATTACAAACTTATAATTAGAAATTATAAGCCTAGGTTTCCTCACGATGCTTTCCTTCACCGTTTATCAGTGGTGTCTATATTATGTTTATGTTTCCTTTTTGTAATTCTAGCCAATGGCGTCGCCCGCGGTCTCGTGGGATAGAAGGTAGCTTAAGGTTGTTCCAAACCATAATCTATCCGTATTATAAATTTCATCCCGGTCCCTTAGCCGTTTAGAAGTGATTAAATAATAAACGCACACACAAAGTCACTTATAATATTAGTAGTTATAATATTCGTATACATTGATTCACTATGATGCTAATATTCGACAGCGGAGTTGCAATACGAGCAGTCCGTCCATCACATACTCTGGGAGTGTGATCTTTTTTTTTATGGCTTAAGCCGGTAAACGAGCAGACGGATCACCTGATGGTAAGCAATCGGCGTCACCCATGGACACCTGGAACACCAGAGGCGTTACAAGTGCGTCACCGGTTTTTTGGGGATTAGGAGTTTAAGGATCGTTGGGGATTCAGGGATTGGGGAGATTGGGGAAGGGGAAGGTAATTGGGCCTCCGGTAACCTCACTCACACGACGAAACACAACGAAAGCGTTGCTTCACGCCAGTTTTCTGTTAGGTCGTGGTATTACTCCGGTTGAGCCGGTCCAGTCGTGCCGAAGCATGGCTCTCCCACACTTAAATCTTAAAAAAGATCTCTGGCAGTATGAATGTAAAACTATGTATATAGACATTGGACTGATGAGGTCATGTGTGTGCACTTAGGTAACTTATAGTTCGATGCACCGTGTTTTGCTGACGTATATCAAATGCGTTATGACGTTAAGCACAGAAACAAATGAATAAAAATAATGTGTAACTGACTTTGTCTGCGTAGAAAATGGATTTTAGAACATTTTAGAACATAACTTTTTTTTGTTTTATAACATAACATAACTTCACGCGCGTATTCCTTTTTAAAAGGCCGGCAACGCAACTGTAACTCCTCTGGTGTTGCGGGTGTCCATGGGCGGCGCTGATCGCTTACCATCAGGTGATCAGTGTGCTCGTTTGCCTCCTATTCCAAAAAAAAAACGCCTTGTCTCACCGGAGGGGTAGGCAGAGGTGCACACTACGACAATTAATGCAACTGTACAATGTAACACCCACTTTTCACTATTCTATGTTATGAGTCCCATGTAAGTGCGACTGCCGGACAAGGGGTCTCGGGTTCGATTCCCGGGCCGGGTAAAGTACTACTGGGTTTTAAAAAAAATCTCAGTAGAAGCATGGAGTTTGAAATTGTGCCCGGTATATGGCAATAGGCTCACCCCCTATTACATGGGACTCATAACATAAATAGTGAAAAGTGGGTGTTACATTGTACAGTGACATTAAGTGCCTACCATTAACTGCTTACCCCTTCGGGGATAACAGACGTGATGTTATGTTATGTAATGTGAATGTTTGTCTGTATGTTTGTTACTTAACCACACCAAAACATCTGAAGGGATCAAGATGAAATTTGGAACACGGATAAAATATAATCTGGGATAACACACGGCCTCTTTTCTATCCAATGAGAACGTAGACAAAGCCGCTGGCAGAAGCTATGTCATTGGTTCATAGCTTCTTACATGGTTAATAGATGACTACGAATGGATGAAAGAACTAGTATAAAGGGCAATGCCCAAAATGGCCCACTGCAATGAAGAGTATCAGAATATACGACAATTAATCCAGTATTTTATTATATAAGTTGTATCACGGACTAGCTGTATTCCAAAATGTAGGTACTTTTAATAGAATAGGGTAGACGACTAATTTTTATTTTAATGTCCGTCTGGTAGATTATTTAAAAACATTAGACACGTATTTTTTCTTTTCTCACAGAAACGAATAGTTTCGTAGATATATTGATTTGAAATGTCGCGTGACGTCACTTCTCAGTACATTTTATACTAAGAAATGACGTTTTAGCCCCCACTCCTAAACTTTGATTCGTTTTATCTAAGTATTGTTTTATTATACGACAAAATAAAAAAATACGTGTCTAATATTTTTTCATTACCTAACTTACGGACTAATTATACCTATTTTTAATTTTCATACCCTGTCATCATCCCCATTTAACGCGATTAATAACATTAGATCGCCATCTTCGCCTAATGTCAAATGCCTTCGCCTAATGTAATAAATAAATAAATCAGCAAGTCCAATGTCATGTTTGGTCGAAAGTGAAATAGGGATGTCCAATCAATTATAATCGATCGATTGTGTTTTTTTTCTTTATGAATGCAGTCATACTACAATTTAAATAGGCAGTAAATACAGTAATACAGTAAATACAGTAATCAAAACCTCTTAACTTCTATACAATCATTCAAACATTCAACATTCGTTCAAATATTATTTGTTACTAGCTGTGCCCGCGACTTCGTTCGCGTGGAATAGTGACTATGAACAGCGTTTTTTTTAAATATATACTTACTTATTTTTATTTTGGATCATTATGTCGGTACAAAATTTCAACCAAATCCGTCAAATAGTTGCGGAGATTAATGGTGCCTATGTAATGTATGTATAAGCATAGAATATTGTTCGACGTGATTCTTTAATTTGACATAACTTTTTTATTTATGAACCGATTGACATGAAACAAACACTAAAGCATAACTGAAGCATACCACAATATATATGCGTGAAAACCGCATCCAACTCGGATCAGCCGTTTCTGAGATTAGCATGAACAGACAAACAGACAAACAGACAAAAAAAAGTTAATTACATTTTTGGGTTCGACATCGACATAACAATAACCCCTGCTATTTTTTTTTATTTTTATTTTCAATGTACAGACAGCACTTTTGTACAATTTTATTATAATTATGTATAGATGGATAGATAGAAGATGGTTAGATTATAACCTCAAAATCTGATACTTTTTTATTGAAATATATCCGCTATAAAAACAAGATCTTCTAGGAATCTACAAATAATAGAGAATACAATACATATTTATCCGATACTCTTGGCTCCAGGGCCAACAATGTAAGGACGCAGAGCAATGTCCTTTACTGCTTTTTTTTCTTTCCAGGATTTATGGGCAAAGTCCTGTTGGAGAAGCTGCTGTACTCCTGCCCAGACCTGGACAGGATCTATATACTTCTCAGAAACAAGAAAGGAGTGAAATCAGAGGATAGACTGGCACAGATCTTCGCTGCACCTGTAAGTATAGGCCCGTCCCGTCCGAGAGTGAGGGAATAAAGAGTACACCTGTGTTTGCACACACACTGTGTATAATATTATATAATATTTGGTGGTTTTCCCAGAGGGCTACAAAATGGGGTTCTTCAAGAGGGGAGTGAATAGGTTTCTTAACCCGTCGAGCGTCTGCGTTCCTTATGATCCAACGGGTGCACACGTGACATTTGGAGAAAGAAAGAAAGAAAGAAAATACATTTATTTGGCCATTGGCACACGAAAACCAGGATCATTACAATAGAAATAAAATAAATACAGTCAAAATAAAAACAAAACATTAATATTAGATTTTATAAAAGAAAAAGCAGCATGGAGCATTTTTTCTTATGATCCACCGGGTGCTCATAAGGACGCTCGAGGGGTTAAGGGTTGGCGAGACGCATGTAATGCCCCAAGTGTTGTAGGCGTACATAGGCCACGGTAACCGCTTACCATCAGGTGGGACGTGTGCTTTTTGCCACTGTCGTGCTATAAAAAAAAACAAAAATCTCCTGCGCAGTGAGCAGAAGTGGTGCTAAATGACCATGTAAGCAAAACCTCGGGGAATTTATATATTACTAGCTTTTACCCGCGGCTTCGCTCGCGTCACAAAAGTATAAAAAGTAGCCTATGTGACATACTTATACCAATACACACAGCGCCATATATACCAATACTTTTGTTTTTCCTAGGGAATATCATTTTTTTCCGGGTTAAAAAGTACTCTATTATTTAATCCGGACTTCTAACTTTACGTCTGCAAAAATTCAAAGCAATCGGTTGAGTAGTTACGGCGTGAAGGTGGAACAAACAAACAAACTCACTTTCAGATTTATAATATTATATAGTAAGGACGTACAAAACAATAGTACGTTAACAAATGAAATATTTAATTATTCTTCGTTACTATGTTTGTTAAATGTCAAATGTCAAAAGCGATGAAAACGTACTTTACGTTCACAAACATAAAATACCAATTCGATTTTTCGCTTTTTGATTTAAATTGCCTCGTTGGCAGAGTGGTCGCAAGTGCGACTGCCGGGCAAGGGGTCTCGGGTACAATTCCCGGGTCGAGCAAAGTATTACTGGATTTTGAAAAAAATCTCAGTAGTAGCACGGAGTTTGGAATTGTGCCCGGTATATGGCAATAGGCTCACCCCCCATTACATGGGACTCATAACATAAATAGTGAAAAGTGGGTGTTACATTGTACAGTGGCATAATATGCACCTCTGCCTACCCCTTCGGGGATAAATGGCGTGATGTTATGATTTAAATCGTTATGTAGTTGCGTTACGTAAATGTACTAAATTGAACGTTCCTAATCCTACTACTGTTTAGTAGTGCCTACGTTAGTGGAGAATTGGCCTTCAGCAGTTTTCAAGTTAAGTAGGATTGTATTATAACTTTCGTGAGACATACTAAATAAATTATTATGTTTCCGGCTTACTCACGTAATTATTTGACTCAGAACTCGACTAGTTTCAAGCCATGCTAGAGGCTCATATTCATGAGCAGCATTTCGCGACCCGCGACGCGGCGACTGTCGCGCTGCTACATAGTTCCTCGTCAAATAATTACGTGAGTAAGCCAAACACCTAATAATTTATTAAGTAGGATTATTTCCAATTTCCATAATTATGCAACCATTCAGTAAAATCACACAGAGGTTTTAATTTTTTTTACTAATATGTAGATGTATGTAAAATAATTTAGCTATTTCACAATAAAACTGATTCATTGACACAGTACAAGACAAGTATAAAGTAACCTTATAATGTACCTCTATGAAATTAGCAAGTCATTGCAAATAACTTAATCAGTGATTAAAACACGTTATTCGCAGCAGTCGTCATGAGTTAATGTTCACACGTAAACAGCAGCTCATGTAGTGTAGATGTCCAGTCAACAAGGATGTAGCGAGGTTGACTGTCCAGGCGACACACGTACTTAGGTATCGTCATGGGCTAATGTTCACATGTAAACAGCAGCTCATGTAGTGTAGATGTCCAGTCAACGAGGATGTAGCGAGGTTGACTGTCCAGGCGACACACGTACAGTCCGCGCGCGAGCTCCGAGGAATGTTAAGGAATGTTGACGTAATGAGCTAGAGTTGTGAATTAGTCGATATTGTGCTATCGATACTAACACATCTTAAGTCTCCGCGCGAGTGTAAATTAAGAAATAATTCTATGAGGGTAATATGTATTTGAAATAAAATAAAACAATTGTATCACGTATGTATTTAATTTAATGAACTGATACTTAATGAACAAATAGAACGTAAAATCCAATTAATCACTGTCGAAATCAGAATTATCAGTACTTGAAGAATTTGATGTACTATCGTCACTCTCCTCACGTACTTCAATAATAAATGAGTCGACAACATCCTCCATTAAGCCATCCTTTTTCCAGTAATGTTCCTCTAATGCTAAGACATGTTTATCATATCCACACCAATCTGCTGTTGTGACTTGCGTGATAGCATTTTCGGTAACCTCCTTCAGTCTCACCAGAGAAAAATCAGAAGTAATGTTATGTTCCCTCACGAGCCTTTTAACTTTTGCCCATGCGAGCTCTATTGGGTTCAAGTCGCACATATAAGGCGGTAATCGCAGTACATCGTGACCATGGCCTTTTATGAGTTCGTCCATTTTAAATGTTTTTTCTGGAGTCCTGTTTTGCTGAATTAAATCATATAATTCAACTTTCCTCATACTGAAACTGGCCTGTACTTTATTTTTGGTTAGCCAATCTAACATAACTTGTTTTGTACTAGATTTTGTGGGCACCTTATTTTCTTGCACGCTATGATAGGGGGCATTGTCCATCACTACAACGCTGTTTGAAGGGAGGTTCGGTAATAACATTTCGTTAGCCCATTTTTCAAAGTTTACATTATTCATCTGCCCATGATAGTCGCCGGTGACTGTGCCAGCTTTAAAAAGCAGTTTGGCTCCGTCTAAAAAGCCGCTTCTCGATCCCGCATGGACTAAAATCAATCTGTTCGAAGAGCTCGTATCAGTCAATATTGCGTTTATTTTATCGTCTCGCCAACATTTTTATACGTTAAATTGTTTCAATCCATGTTTCGTCTAAGAAAAATATTTGGCGATCATTTTGTCTAAATTGACGTATTTTTCTTAAATAAATAGATCGAGCATATATAATATTTGGCCTCTCTATCAAAATTCTCCTTTTGCTATGACATTTCTGCCACTTATACCCCATTTGTTTCAACAACTTTCTCAGGCTAGTTACACCCCAAGGAAAATCAATTTTCTCCCGTAAAGCCAACAAAAGTTTTTGCAAGTTGGGACGACCTTTTTGGTCAAATAAAACTCTTCAATGCAACGATGAATTACTTGACGATCAAATCATCAACATTTAAATCTTTGACTCTCGGATACTTCTTCCCTTTTTTAGATGGCGATTTCAAATGTCCTTGCTGGTCTGTAGGCTCTTTCTTGATTTTACTTAACACACTTTTAGACAGACCTGTGTAATATACTGCTCGATCAAGTGCCTGATTAACAGTAAACGTGAAATGGTTAGATCTTTTTTCTTCTTCACACATCGAAAGAACGTGTTTCGCCATTTCGCGGGCTTGCCTTCGAATAATAAACGATTTTTTTCTCTGCCTGTTGTCACTGCTCGTGCTCGCCATTCCTTTTTTTACCAAATTAAATTGCGCTCACAAAAAAAACTCACTAGTACTACTTATAGTTCAACGAAAGTACAACTGTTATCGCAAAATTAAAAACAACGATTCGACAAGCGTGCTCTCGCGTCAAGGTCGACACTAGACTGGGATAGTGCGGGGTATGAAGCGACGGTCGGGCGCGGCGCACACCCGCCCGCTTCCGCAGCCCCCGATTCCTCGGAGCTCGCGCGCGGACTGTACTTAGGTATCGTCATGAGCTAATGTTCACATGTAAACAGCAGCTCATGTAGCGTAGATGTCCAGTCAACAAGGATGTAGCGAGGTTGACTGTCCAGGCGACACACGTACTTAGGTACTGGAATGCCGTCTCCTCCTTCTGCGAAGCAGTCATGCTTGCTAAGGAGGAGGCGGAGCGCGTAAGGGAACGAACCTCCTCACGCCCCAGCCATCGCGAGAGACATTCCAGGCGTCGGGGATCGCGAGACGATCTCCGGCCACCGTAAGCACGGGCCTGCGGACGGCGAGCATGGGTGACTCGCCGCCCGACCAGAACCAGGCCCGAGCGTACGGCGCGTCGCGTTCCGCGCGCCTCAAGGAGCTATCAGACCACCACAGATGGGGCCCAATAGGGCTGATGCCGATACGGAGCCGCGGAAGACTTAGCGGGCTCCGGCTCGAAGTGCAGAGTAGGAACGGGCAGGTTTTTAGTCAGTAAGAGTCTGACACTCCCTCCCGCCTCACCCGGGCGGGAGAAGTCATTGAGTGATTTTCCTCCCTCAAAAAAAAAAAAACGGTATCCTCATGACCTTATTTTCATAAGGAAACAGCTCTTCAACACATGTTTTGTTTCAGTTGTTCGAAAGACTCCGCAAAGAGAGACCCGGCTTCGAATCCAAAGTATTTGTTGTCGCTGGAGATGTTATGGAACTTGGTTTAGGTGAGTTTGATGTTTGCTAATCAGCTGGGTGACGGCAGTGACTTTGTCACCCATGAGGTAGACAAATGACTTGATAAAGGTCGCAAGAAGCCGTTGGATGGAGGTCGCTTTCAACCAACCTATCTAGAAGTTGTAACGGGTTACCGCTACGCAGCCAAGCTATAGTGGACCCTAACTTAGCAATAAGAGTTAAATTCCTAAACTCAGTTAGTGGCTAATGTGCAATTACCCACTACAAAGTCATTGGGCTTCCCCAGGCCTCCGCTTACGTGAGTCAGTAAACGTCTTGTAGCTGATATGATGATGATGATGATGACGATGATAACGTTTCGGTTAAATCCTCTACTAATACATTTCTGAAAACTTCTTCAAATTAGACTTTAATATTTTGTCTCATTTCAGGTATATCTGAAGAGGACCGCGCGTTGATTGTCAATCGTGTGAACATTGTTTACCATGTTGCAGCTAGCGTTAGGTATGTGCATTTCAGAGTTAAAGCATTTATTTTATTTAAACTATATGGCTAACATTAATACGTTTAAGTCCAGCACCGTACATGTGATGCATGCACTCGTGATCCCTGACCTTCCGGAGAAGCTCAAAATCGCTCAGCGCGCGGTGGAGGAAGCTATGCTCAGAGTTTCTTTGCGCGACAAAATTCGCAATAGGGAAATTCCCCAAAGAACTAGAGTTACCGACATAGCTCGCTAAATCTGCAGACTGTGGTGGCAATGGGCAGGCTACGTCGCTTGATGGACTTACAGAGATAAATCAGGAAAGTCCTTGCGTGGAGACAATGGATCGGAAGACGAAATGTGAGCAGGCCTCCCGCTAGGTGGACCGATGATATCACCAGAGTTGCGGGAAGCCAGTGGAAACAGGTGGCAAATTGTCGTTCGACATGGAGGACTAAGGGGGAGGCATTTGTCCAGCAGTGGACGTCTTTCAGCTGTTGATGATTATGAACGTACTTGTAACTCCTCTAATGTTGCATCTGCAAGTACGTTCATCTTGGGCAGTGGTGATCGCTTACCATCAGGTGACCCGCTAGCTCGTTTGCCCCTATTCCATGAAAAGGGTATTAATTAGGTCCTGCCATTTTCCAGGTTCGATGATCCTCTGGAGTACGCTGTGCGTATGAACCTCCGAGGCACCAAAGAGATGGTGGAACTGGCTGCAGACATCAGGAATTTAAATGTGAGTACTTAGTTATTTACCTTTACAACTTTTATCATTACAATTGTCTGGTGATTGTACTAAAGGGTTTGTAAGTAGGTACTGCCTCGTTGACCGAGTGGTCGCAAGTGCGACTGCCGGGCAAGGGGTCTCGGGTTCGATTCTCGGGTCGGGCAATGTCTTATTGGGTTTTAAAAAAATCTTAGCTATGTGCTCAGCAGCACGGAGTCTAGAATTGTGCCCAGTATATGGCAATAGGCTCACCCTCATTACATGGGACTCGTAACATAAATAGTGAAAAGTGGATGTTATATTGTACAGTGGCGTAAACGTGCCTATATGTTGACCTGACCTGTTAGTAATAATCATACAAAATTTTAAGTAAATCCATGCAGTACATTTGGAGATTATCCCGGACATACATATTGACAAACAGACAAAAATTCTAAAAACAATATATTGGCTTCAGTGTCGATAGTAGATCACGCCCCAAGAATATCCTGTGTGAATGTATGTACACAGATAATAGATCTGTGGACAGATCACACTGAGAACCTCTTCGAAGTCGGTTAAAACATAATGATTATCCTTACTAATGTTATAAATCGGAAAGTGAGTTTGTTTGTTTGTTCCGCTTTCACGCCGTAAAGTTAGGAGACTGGATTAAATATTAGGGTACTTTTTATCCCGAAAAAATTTGATATTCCCGCGGGAAAACAAAAGTATTGGTATAGATGGCGCTGTATGTATTGGTATATGTCACATAGGCTACTTTTTATCCTTTTGTGACGTGAGCGAAGCCGTAGGTAAAAGCTAGTTTTTCATAAATCGAGTCGTTTCTTATTGCAGGTCTTTGTCCACGTATCAACTTCGTACGCAAACACGAACAGGGAAACCCTTGAGGAGGTCGTCTACCCTCCACACGCTGATTGGAGAGAGACCCTAAACATCTGCGAGACTATTGACTCTCATACATTGAAGGTGCTGACTCCGAAGTAAGTTGTTCCTTAACTCACCTAAGTTTAGTGTGGGAGCGCCATGCTTCGGCACGAATGGGCCGGCTCGAACGGTGTGATACCACTGCCGAGCAGAAAACAACGCTTACGTTGTATTTCGTCGAGTGAGTGAGGTTACCGGAGGCCCAATTACTCTCCCCTCCCCAGTCTCCCCAATCCTCCTATATCCCCAACAGCTCTCAAATTTCCAATCCCCAAAATGCCGGTAACGCACTTGTAATGACTCTAAAGTTTCAGGTGTCCATAGGTAGCTTACCATCAGGTGATTCGTCTCCTCGTTTACCGGCTTATCCCATAAAAAAGTTTTACTGAATTATCATCATCACTAGCTATTCACCCATTGTGATGTTTTACAGAATATAGCCTTTCTCGATAAATACTCTATCCAACACAAAAATAATTATTCAATTAGAAACAGTAGATCCGGAGATTATTGTTTCCAAACAAACAAACTCTTCAGCTTTAGTATAATAAAATCAGTATCTTTTTTCTTCTTCTTCTTCTTTAACTCTCTCTCTCTCTCTCTGTCTCTCTTCATCCTGATTGGGACATTTCATCGTATCGTTTATTTCTTTTTCAATCTCAGGTCTTTTTTCTCAGCATATAGTAAGTAACTACTGGACTTGATATTATTCAGAGACACTGTCTAGGACTTAGGTCGGCTCCTAGTAAGCCGATTTGGTTTTTATAAAACATTACCCTCCTTCTTTGGCAGTCGGGTAAAAACCGTTGCCCCACACTAGGATTTTCTCCTGTGTCGTGTGTGCGTTTACAAACATACAATGTCACATACACATGACACCCAGATCCGGAATAACAATCTGTGGATCACACAATGAGATGTTCCTTTCGGGAATCGAACCCGCGCCACGTTGCGCGGCAGCCAGTTGCCCAGCCACCGCGCCAACCGTGCAGTCAGATTTACGGAGTAGCTCACTTATTATGATGTCTGAACGCCCCGAACTATTACCACAGCTATGCTATTACTCCATTCCTGTCAAACAGTCATTGAATGAATATTTAATCTGTTGTATTCCATTTCAGATACCTAGGAGAGCTACCCAACACCTATACATTCTCCAAGCAGCTGGCTGAGAACGTAATAGCTGAATATAAAGGGATCCTTCCAGTTGTCATTATCAGACCCTCTATTGGTAAGTTTATCCATGAGCTGTGCGGGATTTTTTTGTGCATGAGCATTTTAAGTGTGGGAGAGCCATGCTTCGGCACGAATGGGCCGGCTCGACCGGAGTGATACCACGGCCTGAAGTCGACGTGAAGCAACGCTTGCGTTGTGTTTCGTCGTGTGAGTGAGGTTACCGGAAGCCCAATTACCTTCCCCTTCCCTAAGGTCCCCAATCCCTGAATCCCCAACGATCCTCAAACTCCTAATCCCAAAAAAGCCGGTGATGCACTTCTAACGCCTCTGGTGTTCCAGGTGTCCATAGGCGACGCCGATTGCTTACCATCAGGTGATCCATCTGCTCGTTTACCGGTTTATGCCATAAAAAAAGCTTTTGAATAAGAGATGGCGAGCAATAAGCGCGTCCTACGGACACCTACAATTCTAGAGGAATTATAATAAGTGCCTTGCCCGGCATTTTGTGGGGGGATTGAGTCACCAGTCTCCTAATTGTGGCTGAGCAACCGGCTGCCGTGCAACGTGTCGCGGGTTCGACTCCCGCACGGAACAACACTTTGTGTGATCCACAAATTGTTGTTTCAGGTCTGGGAGTGATGTGTATGTGAACTTGTATGTTTGTAAACGCACCCACGACACAGGAGAAAATCCTAGTGTGGGGCAATGTTTTTGAAAAACATGGGAATCATAACATAAATCGTGAAAAGTGAGTGTTACATTGTACAGTAGCATTATGTGCCGTAGTGTGCACTTCTGACTACCCCTTCGGGGATAAAAGACGTTATATATTGTTATGTTATTTTGTTTTTCTCTAGTAATTTCAAGTGTGGAGGAACCAGTGCCTGGGTGGATAGAGAACTTCAATGGACCTGCAGCTCTGTTGGTGGCCTGTGGAAAAGGTAAGTTTTAATATCATCATCAGGTATCATCAACAGCAATAAGTGGCTTATGATGACCAAAGGCCTCTTCTCACACGGAAGAGGTTTGAGCATCACCACGCTTACTCAATACGGGTTGGCTTCCTCACGATGTTTTCCTTCACCGTTTGTCAGTGGTGTCTGAATAATCTTAGAAAATACAAATAAGCTTCGTTATAATTTCTAATTATAAGTTTAACTGCCTCGTTGGCCGAGTGGTCGCAAATGCGACTGCCGGGCAAGGGGTCTCGAGTTCGATTCCCAGATCGGGAAAAGTATTACTGGGTTTTTAAAAATCTCATTAGTAGCACGGAGTCTGGAAATGTGCCCGGTATAAGGCAATAAGCTCACCACCGAAAAGTGGGTGTTACATTGTGCAGTGGCATTAAGTGCCGAAATGGGCACCTCTGCCTACCCCTTTGGGGAAAAAAGGCGTGATGTTATGTTACGTTTAAATGTTTATTGTGAAATTGCAGGTATCCTAAGAAGTATGTACACAGACCCTGACCTGGTGGCAGATTATATGCCGGTTGATATCTCCATCAAGAGCTTCATCGTGGCGTCCTGGTTGAGAGGAACAAAGGAGTAAGTAGAAGCTTCGCATAAAATAATCGACTATTAGCTGGTCGGAAGATTATTAATTAATGTTACATAGGTATTAAATACTAGCTATTGCCCGGGACTTCTTTCGCGTAGAATATAATTCCTGTTTTATTCCATGCTCCGATCAACAATAGCAATCATAATGAAAAAGTATCTTATCAACTGCTTAACAAAAGCTGTCAACCCATATAGGCAGGATAGGCAGGTACACCAAATTTCGTCAAAATTCGTTCAGTAGTTTCAGTGTGACTGCCTCGCTGGCCGAGTGGTCGCAAATGCGACTGCCGGGTAAGGGGTCTCGGGTTCGATTCCCAAGTCGGGAAAATATAACAGGGTTTTAAAAAAAATCATCTTAGTTATAGCACGGAGTCTGTCACACTTTCGAGCGTCCTCGAAAACTATCGAGCGTCCTCGAAATCAATCGAACGTCCTTGAAATCAATCGAGCGTCCTCGAAATCAATCGAGCGTCCTCGTACACTTTCGAGCGTCCTCGAAATCAATCGAGCGTCCTCGTACACTTTCGAGCGTCCTCGAAATCAATCGAGCGTCCTCGAAAACTATCGAGCGTCCTCGAAAACAATCGAGCATCCTCGAAAACAATCGAGCGTCCTCGAAAACTATCGAGCGTCCTCGAAATCAATAGAGCGTCCTCGAAATCAATCGAGCGTCCTCGAAAACTATCGAGCGTCCTCGAAATCAATCGAGCGTCCTCGAAATCAATCGAGCGTCCTCGAAATCAATCGAGCGTCCTCGAAATCAATCGAGCGTCCTCGAAAACAATCGAGCGTCCTCGAAATCAATCGAGCGTCCTCGAAATCAATCGAGCGTCCTCGAAATCAATCGAGCGTCCTCGAAATCAATCGAGCGTCCTCGAAATCAATCGAGCGTCCTCGAAATCAATCGGGCGTCCTCGAAATCAATCGAGCGTCCTCGAAAACAATCGAGCGTCCTCGAAATCAATCGAGCGTCCTCGAAATCAATCGAGCGTCCTCGAAATCAATCGGGCGTCCTCGAAATCAATCGAGCGTCCTCGAAAACAATCGAGCGTCCTCGAAATCAATCGAGCGTCCTCGAAATCAATCGAGCGTCCTCGTACACTTTCGAGCGTCCTCGAAAACTATCGAGCGTCCTCGAAAACTATCGAGCGTCCTCGAAATCAATCGAGCGTCCTCGAAATCAATCGAGCTCCTCGAAATCAATCGAGCGTCCTCGAAACCAATCGAGCGTCCTCGAAAACTATCGAGCGTCCTCGAAAACTATCGAGCGTCCTCGAAATCAATCGAGCGTCCTCGAAATCAATCGAGCGTCCTCGAAATCAATCGAGCGTCCTCGAAATCAATCGAGCGTCCTCGAAATCAATCGAGCGTCCTCGAAATCAATCGAGCGTCCTCGTACACTTTCGAGCGTCCTCGAAAACTATCGAGCGTCCTCGAAAACTATCGAGCGTCCTCGAAAACTATCGAGCGTCCTCGAAATCAATCGAGCGTCCTCGAAATCAATCGAGCGTCCTCGAAATCAATCGAGCGTCCTCGAAACCAATCGAGCGTCCTCGAAATCAATCGAGCGTCCTCGAAAACTATCGAGCGTCCTCGAAATCAATCGAGCGTCCTCGAAATCAATCGAGCGTCCTCGAAATCAATCGAGCGTCCTCGAAATCAATCGACCGTCCTCGAAATCAATCGAGCGTCCTCGAAATCAATCGAGCGTCCTCGAAATCAATCGAGCGTCCTCGAAATCAATCGAGCGTCCTCGAAATCAATCGAGCGTCCTCGAAATCAATCGAGCGTCCCCGAAATCAATCGAGCGTCCTCGAAAACAATCGAGCGTCCTCGAAAACTATCGAGCGTCCTCGAAAACTATCGAGCGTCCTCGAAAACTATCGAGCGTCCTCGAAATCAATCGAGCGTCCTCGAAATCAATCGAGCGTCCTCGAAATCAATCGAGCGTCCTCGAAATCAATCGAGCGTCCTCGAAATCAATCGAGCGTCCTCGAAATCAATCGAGCGTCCTCGAAAACTATCGAGCATCCTCGAAAACAATCGAGCATCCTCGAAAACAATCGAGCGTCCTCGAAATCAATCGAGCGTCCTCGAAATCAATCGAGCGTCCCCGTACACTTTCGAGCGTCCTCGAAAACTATCGAGCGTCCTCGAAAACTATCGAGCGTCCTCGAAAACTATCGAGCATCCTCGAAAACCATCGAGCGTCCTCGTGTACGGTAGGCGTACGGGAACGAAGTACACTTATACACTATTAGGATACAAAGATTATGATAATAGAGGGGACACTACACCTCCCCCCTGAAAAAAAAAGGAAAATGCTTATTATATTAGCATTTTTCTTGCATACCATAGATAACGTACAATACATGATAATTATCATTACTTAACTAGAGTGATACAATTTAGTTCGGTTTTTGTGTATTACATCGGGCTTATTATTTCGCATAATTTCAACATTCGGTGACATATCTTTTATCACAACATATGGTCCAGAATAAATACAATTTAATTTGTTTCCAACCTCATTTTTAACAAGAATCAGATCATTTGGTTTATACACAACTGGATTCATATTTTTATCGTATATTTCTTTTCTTTTAATTTTACTAGATAGTAAATTTTCTCTAGCCTCCTTTTGTGCCAATTGCAAACGAAACTTGAGTTCTAAAGGGTAGTTATCAAAAGTGTATAGAGGATCTATTATATTACTTAACAAATTACTAGGGAGAGAGCATTTCTTCCCAAAAACAAGCTCATACGGTGTAAATTTTGTTTCACTATGCACGGACGTGTTGAAGGAAAAGCACCAAAATGGAAGCCATTGACTCCACATTTCGGGATGGTTATCACATTGAATTCTGAGGAAGGAACCAAGGTGTTTATGCGAATTTTCTAATGCACCTATTGACTGGTGGTGATAGGCGGTAGAATTAGTTTTTGTAATGTGTAAAAGTTTACATACCTCATTCATGGTTGAAGACATGAATTCTGCTCCTCTATCGGTTGCGATCTCCTTCGGAATTCCATATCGCAATATAAAATTATTTACTAGAGTTCTAGCTACCTCTGTTGTGCTTTTAGAAATAAGTGGATAAGCTTCAACGTATTTTGAAAGTTCGCACTGTAGAGTCAAAATATATGAATAATTATTATTATCTCGCTGTAATGGACCAACGATATCCAAATATATTTTTTCAAAGGCAGTGTTTGCGGTTGACGTTATTACCATAGGCTCTTTTACGTATGTCGAATACTTATGTCGCTGGCATTTGTCACAGCGTTTTACAAAATTAATCACATCTTTTTCTAATCCTGGCCAAAAATAATATTTTTTAATATTAGATAACATCCGTCTCATACCCGCGTGGCCACTTGAGGGCAGGAGATGGAAGTCATTCAATATTACCGTTTGATCATCTTTATTTTCTATTCTAATAATGTCCTTTAATATACATAACCTAGGCATAGTAGCACTTCCGTATATTTTTACTTCATTTAATAATTTTTCCACGAAAACATTATTTCTTTTAGTCATTACAAAATATAGTTCATTAATTCCATTTTTTAAGCATGCTTCATCAAGTTCTCTCACAAATTCCGCTGGGGTAATTTGCGATTGAGAATCCATATATTTAATATAAATTGAGTTCCTATCAGGAACATAACAAAATGTTTTAGTTTCAAAACGTACGTCATTTAATTGTTTTATTGAGTTTAATTTCCTTTTTTCAATAAATACTAATTCTATGTGGTCCTTAGGTTTAATATGCGCCTCTACGACTTTTGGTTGATCAGACCAATCGTCGGTAAAGTCGATATTAGCCGAAGGATCTGGCATAGTTTGCGCTATTTTTCTCTTTTGCGCTCTTGTCATGACATTTATTATTTTATTAGACATTTCCTTTAAATCTTGTATGTTGATACGAGACAAAGCATCTGCAGCTGCATTATCTGTACCTTTTACATACTCGATACTAAAGTTGTATTCTTCTAATAATAGCCGAAACTTCATCAGCCGGCTCGACGGATCCCTCATATTATACAAATAAACTAGAGGCCTATGATCAGTTTGAATTTTGAATTCTTTACCGTATAAATAGGGTCGAAAGTGTTTGACCGCCCAAACAATTGCCAAAAGTTCCTTTTCTATAGTTGGATAATTTTTCTCCGCTTTATTTAGACTCCTACTGGCAAACGCTACGGGTCTCATATTTTTATTCATCATCACGGCACCGATCGCGTGGTTTGACGCGTCTGTTTGAATTATAAACTGATTATTTGGGGAAAAATCCGGGTAAGCTAAGACAGGTGGTAAAGTAATACTTTCTTTTAGAGTTTCAAATGCTTTTTGACATTGATCGTCCCACTTAAAACGAATATTTTTCTTACATAATCTATTTAATGGGCTAGCTTTCTCGGCAAAATTTGGAACAAACTTCCTATAATAATTTACAAAGGCTGTAAATCTCTTGACCTCATCGGTAGTTTTGGGCTGTGGGTAATTTCTAACTACTTCAATTTTTGACGGATCCGGTAGTATTCCTTTATCAGAGACTACATGTCCTAAATATAATATCTGTTTCTTTAGAAAATCGCATTTCTGCGGGTTCAATTTCAAGTTCACCTTACGAAGACGTTCAAAAACATCTTGTAAGTTTTTGTTGTGGTTATCTAATGAAAAACCATAAATAATTAGATCATCCATGTAAACAAAACATTTTTCGTAGGTAAGACCCGACATGGCCATATTCATCATGCGTGAGAACGATCCGGGACTTGTTTTCAGTCCCATAGGCATCCTCACCATTTGGTATTGTCCCGAGTCAAATGCGGTGTATTTTCTACTGTCTTTATGTAATTTAACATTATAAAACCCATTATATAAATCTAAATGACTGAAATATACACTACCTGCCAATGCGTCTAATATTTCAGACATATTAGGTAGTGGAAATTTGTCATCTTCGATTAAATTATTC